AAACAGACAAGAAAAGGCTTTTACAATGGAGGGGAAATGGGGGAAGATGAGAGGGAATGAGTGAATCATTGGATTTGGCTTAATGTGGGAATAACATACATACTCAATTGAGTATGGAAAGCTTCTTATCCTACAGGAAAATAGGGGGGAAGGGGATAAGAGAATGGAGGCAGGGGGATGATGGGGGGGCAGATTGGGGGAGGGGGTAATCAGAAGCAAACACTTCTGAGGAGGGACAGGGTCAAAAGAGAGAATAGAATAAATGGTAGGCAGGATAGGATGAAGGGAAATATAGTTTTCCACAGCATGACTACTATTGAAGTGTTTTGCATGACTATACAAGTATAACCTGTATTGAGTTGCTTGCCTTCTCAATGAGGGTGGGTGGGGAGGGAGGAAGGGAGAAAATTTGGAACCCAAAGTTTTAAAAACAAATGTTAAAAAATTGTTTTTACATGCAACTGGAAAATAAGATATACAGTCAATGGGGTATAGAAATCTATCCTGCCCTACAGGAAAATAGAAGAGGAAAAGGTTACGAGAAGGGGGGGTGGAGATAGAAGGGAGGGGAGATTAGGGGAAAGGGTAGTCAGCATGCACACTGTCTTGGGGTTGGGGGAGGGACGACACGGGGAGAAAATTTGGAACTCAAAATCTTATGGAAGTGAATGTTGAAAACTAAAAATAAATAAATTAATGAATCTTAAAAAAAAAAAAGAAAAAGAAACTCTAACCAAATAACACCAGGAAAATGGGAGTCTCTCTGGAGGTTTTAAAGAAATTCTACAACTTTCCTCAGTAACTTATCCTCTTTAGCATTTAACATGAATACCTCACATGAATCTTTCTTAGTGGTGCACTCAGGATCCGTGACTCTATTTTCTTGAAAGCTTATTTCTAGCACATGTATACCCTCAATTCTCCAACCTAAACCTGCCTCTCCCTGAGAGTTTACCTTTCAACCTAACCAACTTTTCTTCTTGTCTATGGTTACAGAACCTGAGACTGAAAGCTTAAAAATGCAATTTTATATTTATGTTGAAAAGGCAGACTTACATTTACTCATGTATTGAATCCAGCGGAAAACATGGCATACTCTTCATTCTTAATAGACACAATCTTGTATCTTTAAACGTTTCATGTTTGCATAGCTTGCCTCTCCAACTAGAGTATCAGTTCCATGAGGACAAAAACCATGCTTTAAACCCCTTCAAATACTGTGTTTTGTGACAATAACTGCTTGGTTGTTGTTTTATTTTTGTTGTTGTTGTTGTTGTTGTTCAGTCATGTCTGACTCCTTGTGACCTCATGGACACATGCCAGGTCCTTCTATCCTCCACAGTCTCCTGAAGTCAGTCCAAGTTCATATTCATTGCTTCCATGATGCTATCTATCCCATCCACTGCTCTTCCCTTCTTTTTTGCTTTCAATCTTTCCCAACATCAAGATCTTTTCCAATTAGTCCTGTTTTCTTATTATGTGGCCAAAGTATTTAAGCTTCAGCTTCAGTATTTGTTCTTCCAATGAATAGTCTGAATTAAGTTCTTTAAGTATTGACTGATTTGACCTCCCAGCTCTCCGAGGAACTCTCAAAAGTTTCCTTCAGCACCACAATTTGAAAGCAGATTCTGAGGTGCTCAGCTTTGCTTATAGTCAAACTCTCACAGCTATACATTACTATTGGAAAAACCATAACTTTATCTCTATGAACCTTTGTTGGCAAGGTGATGTTTCTGCCTTTTAGTGTGCTGTCCAAATTTGCCATAGCTTGCCTTCCAAGGAGAAATTGTCTTAATTTCATGGTTGCAGTCACCATCTGCAATGATCTTTGAGCCCAAAAACATAAAATCTTACACTGCTTCCATTTCTTCTCTCTCTATTTGCCAGAGCGTGATGATATCTGCTGTCATGATCTTAGTTTTTTTAACGTTAAGCTTCAAGCCAGCTTTTACACTCTTTTCTTTCACCCTCATCAAGAGACTTCTTAGTTCTTCTTCACTCTCAGCCATCAGAGTGGTATCGTCTACATACCTGAGATTGTTGATATTTCTCTCTGCAACATTAATTCCAGCTTTTAATTCATCCAGCCTGGCATTTTACCTGAAATTACTCTGCATATAAATTAAATAAATAAGGCACCAATATATAGCCTTGTTGTATTCTTTTTCCAATCTTAAGTCAATCAGTTTTCCATATTTGTTTCTAACAATTGCTTCTTGACTTGTATAAGAGTTCCTCAGGAGACAAGTAAGATGATCTGGTACTTCACCTCTTTGAGAACTTGCTACATTTTGTTGTGATCCACACAGTCAAATGCTTTAGTGTAATCCATGAAGCAGAAGGTGTTTTGTAGAACTCCCTTGCTTTCTCCATAATCCAGCAAATATTGACAATTTAGACTCTAGATTCTCTGCCTCTTTGAAAACCAGCCTACTCTTGTGATTCTTAGTTCACATATTGCTGAAGCCTAGCTTGCAGAATTTTAATCATAACCTTGCTGGAATGTGAAATGAATGAAATTGTTTGGTGATTTGAATATTCCTTGGCATTGTCCTTCTTTAGGATTGGCACATAAGCTAATCTTTTCCAATCCAGTGACCACTGTTGAGTTTCCAAAATTTTCTGGCATATTGAGTGCAGCAATTTAACAGCATCATCTTTTAGGATTTTAAATATCTCAAATGGAATTCCATCACCTTCCAGGTCCCCCTGACTCCAGGGTCAGTGCTCTATCCACTGTGCCACCTAGCTGCCCCCACTGTGCCACCTAGCTGCCCCAAGGCAGTGATTTTTGTTATTCATTCATTCAGTCATTTCCTACTTTTGACCTTGTGGACATTATGACCGTGGGGTTTTCTTGGCAAAGATGCTGGAGTGGTTTGCTATTTCCTCCTCCAGTGTGTCCCCATTTGACAAATGAGGAACTGAGGCAAATAGGGGTTAAGTGACTTGCCCAGGATCACACAGCTATTAAGTATCTGAGGCTAGATTTGAACTCAGACTTTCCTGATTCCAAGTCCAGTGCACTATCCACTGTGTAACCTAGCTTAATAACGCATTTTAATTAATTTGTTCTTTCATTCAGCATTCTATAGAGCAAAGTGCTAAAAATATGCTAGGAGAAAGGAAGGAAACATATTTATATAGAGCCTACTATGAGCCAAGTGCTTTACAAATATTATTTTAGTTGATCATCACAACAACTCTGAGAGGCAGATGCTATTATTATCCCCATTTAACAATTGAGGAAACTGAGGCAGGCAGAGGTTAAGTGACTTTTCCCCAGGGTCACATAGCTATAAGTGTCTAAGGCCAGATTTGAACTCAGGTCTTCCTGATGCCAATGCTCTATCCACAGTACCACTTAACTGCCTCAAAATAACATGGCTACCATACTGTTGCTGTAAAATAATGTCTTGGGCAAGGAGATTGTGTGGCATGGCTAATTCTTTCACTGACATCATTCCCCTTTTATAATGTGCATATGTGTCTGTAGAGTGTTTTTAATGTTCCTTTTTTATATTACTGTCACTTTCCAGTAGCTACTTTCCACCAGTAGAACCCTCCCTCTTAACAAAGTGCAGCAAATCAAATCAAACTGACTTATTGATCATGTCTAATAGCACATGCTTCATTCTACACTCACAGTCCACCACCTCTCTACCAAGAAGGAGGAAGTATGTTTCATTGTCGACCTCTGGAATCATTGTATCAATATGAATTCTGATGTCTTTCAGTTCTCTTTTCCCTTAAATTGTGTTTTTAGTTTGTTCTAGTGTCTCTGTTTCCTGCACTCTGCATCAGTTCATATACATCTTCTAATTGTCTCTGAATTCCACATCTTAATTGTTTCTGATGACACAGAAATATTCCATTGCATTTATCTACCACAACTTGGTCAGCCATTCATCCATCTGTGAGTACCCAGTTTGTTTCCAGTTTGTTTTTTTCCTATCAAAAAAATACCACATATTTTGTTATTTGTCGGACTTTCTTCCATCTGTGATGTCCTTGGGGCACCTGCCTAGTGAAGGTATTGTTGGGTCAAAGTGTATTGATGTTTTAGTCTTTTTCTAGCACAGTTCCAAATTATTTTCTAGAATGGTTGGGCCAACTTGCAACTCCCCCAACAGTGTATTACTGTATCATTCTTCTGATTCATTTGGTTCTTTGATGACTTCCTAGATTCAGACTAAAACATAGACCTCTTGGTTTGATATCCTAGACGAATGATTTCTGGTTTACTCTCTTTTTTGATTGTGAGTTGTACCCAGTGGTGTGCTGGAGCCAGCTTAGGAAAACCAATTGTTAAATTTTCAGTATAAGCATTTGTACCTCGGAAACTGGCATGTGCTAGAAATCAGAACTTGGTTTTTTTGTTTTGTTGATTGGCTAGACTTAAGAATGCGTTAATACAGATTAAACTTTAAAAGTATATCATGGGTACATTCCTCTCCCTCTCCCCCAGATAGTTGTTAAACATTTACTAGCACATTTCTGGGTGTACCATGGCCTTTTCTTTAGAAGAGTTCTTTCCTTGGACTCTCTCCATTTCATGTAATTAACACACAAGCAGGCCCTCTTTTCTCCATATTTGGGTGGAAATTTTGATACTAGTTGCCATTAATTAGCAATCAGTGCATCAAGTTCCCCCTGAAAATTCAATGGAGTGAGGGTAAAATGCAAGCCCCCAATTCTCCACTGGTCCTTGACTAATTTTGCTCCCAAACAATGGCAACTCTTTACTTCTTAATTGATCAGCCTCACTGAAAAATCATTCGGACTTTAAATTCATAATAAAGAAGCCAAAACAATTTATCTAATGTAACAAACCTCTAGAGGTCAATAAAATACATCAATAACAAGCCCTTCTCTCACTTCCAGCCCAAGCCAACCCTCTCACCTTTTCTCAGCTTCCCAAGACAGAAGGTTCCATTTTTCTTCCCTTTCTCCAATTACTTTCATGCATGAAAGCTGTCAATGCCTCCTCATAAACCTACCTGTCTGCCAACATTTCTGGGTGGGGTTTGGGAGAATTTTCAGTCAGTCTCACCAGTCAGCAATTCCAATCATTCGCACTGGGATTAGAGAGTGTGGTAGAAGTTTTGGGTCATTCTCATGGTCACAGCTGCAAGGGTGAACAGAGAGTAGAATGGCTCCAGGGTTCTGGGAGTTCTGCTCCAGGGGTTTCCTTGTGAGCTTATCTTCATAGCCCCAGCACTCAAAAGGGGGGATTGAGCAAATGCCCAGGGCTAATTCCCACAGAGTACTCCCTGACTGTCAGGAATCTATGGAAGAAAATAGGAGGAGAGTAGATGTGGTCGTGTTGTTGGCCTCAGCTCCCATTTCTTTGTCCCTCCTTCCTCCTTCAAACTACACATTCCCCTCCTGTATCTGACATCACGTCTGCAACCCAACCCATCCAGGACAGATTGACAACAAAGCCAGCTGGAATTGTGCCAGTCTTGGCACTCCGTATGAAACATTATCCCCAGTGGACACATTCCCCACATCAGGAAAGGGATACAGCTTTCTTCAAGTGAATGGAACTTATTAAGCTTCTTTAGTGGCATGCTTTCTACTCCCAGCCATTGTGTCCCACCCACTTAGACAATTTCTATTATCTTGAGCTTCCAAACCTTCTATCAAACTCACTTTTTTAAGAAGTCATTCTTGAACCTCTGAAAGCTACCTTGAACTAATGATGGATTGGGCATGGTCAAAGTCAATGGAATAAATTGAAGTCAATATTGTAAATGTAGCCTGTTGGAAGGGAGATCTTATCAAGGAAGGAAATTGCAGAGTAGTTTAACTTTTAAGTCTGTTCTTCAGTATCATCTTGGGACTGTGCCTTTTTACCCTTTCCCATGCTTCATCTGGGCAATAGTCCAATACATTCGAGACACAACTCTAGATAGTCAAATGGGATAACTCAAGCCAAAGCACACCATTGTCTAACCAGCCCAACCCAGACTCTTTCAGGACAGTGTTTCCCATGTACCTCTTTTGCATATCGTGCCCTGTTATAGAAGCTCAGATTGTTTCAATTCAGCCCACACTTATCATTGAGTCCATAACTCTCATTTTACAGATGAGGATTCTAGCACTCAAGAAAGGTTAATTGAGTCATTCAAGGTTGCACAGTGTCATGAAATGTATCCTCTGCCATGCCACTAATTATTCTAACCAATTGCTCTCAGTTATTTCTACCTGCAAAGCCCTTGAAGTCACAGCTATGAAAGCTCTTCAGTACAAGTGAGAAGGGGCAGCTAGGTGGTTCAGTGGATATAGTGCTGGACCTGGAGTCAGGAATACCTGAGTTCAAATCCTGCCTCAGACATTTTCCAGTTGTATGACCCTGGCCAACTCACTTAACCCTGTTTACCTCAGTTCCTCATCTGTCAAATGAACTGGAGAAAGAAATATCCTAGGTGAGGTCACAAAGAGTCAGACATGAATGAATAATAACAAGTGAGAAGAACCTGATTTAGAATCTGTGATGATTTAAAAGTTCAGGAGACATAGTTTCTGGGTAATTTAATCATTTTATTAATGAGGCCAGCAGGTTATTAATAAAAGCATGGTCATTTGACCATTTCTCTCAGAAATGGGGGGTCCAGCGGGAGTGAGGTCACAATTTATATGCCCTTTGAAGAGGAGGCATTCCTGAAGGCTGCCTCACCACCTCTGATTGGTTAATCAAGTGAGAGGTGGGCTATCTTGGGATGCGTGACTTAGGTCACTCAACTCTTGGTCGAAGAGAAATCAATTTCCATATCACCTGTCTTCATAATAAGGATAATCAACATTTACCCCAGATCTGTCTGAGCAAACACAATGAGCAACAATACGCACATTGGCCTGAATTTAGAATTTTTTTTTACTGTCCAATTAGATCTTGTCCTGGGTAAATCTCTAAGAGAGATTTGGTTGATTTCTGAATGAGGAAGTAGAAAAGGGGAGAAACCTCGATCCTAATACAATAATCAGCTATTAAGTATTAGAGAGAAATATTTATTTTTCATAAATCTCAGCTCAAAAAAATCATAGATTAAGAGCTGTAAGGGACCTTAGAGGTCATTGAGTTCAACTTCATTTTAAAAGATGAAGAAACTGAGGCCTAAAGAAGGTTAAGTGCCTTGTTTGAGGAGAGTTATTCTCTGACTCTAACACCACTGCTTTTCCCACTGGACCACACTGGATATATCCTACCTGTGTGATGTTAGCAAGTCACCTTTCCCTTCTAAGCTGTAGAGTTCTCATTTGTGAAAATGCAGGAGTTGATTTGGTCACCTCTAAACTCCCTTCCATTTTGGAGATTCTGGGAGATTTTGAAATACTCGCCTTAGCTATCAGGCCTTTTCATCCCAGGGGCATGTATTGGACATAAGCCTCTGACACTTATTTTTTATCCTGCTCCCTCAATTCCCACAGCTTCCTAGCTCTTGGCTGCTCATCTGAACTTTGGAACTACCGTTTTGCTTGGTCATGTAATATTTGCATCCTTCCAGTACTGGTCGGCTTGCTTGGCTTTTGATTTAATTTCATGTTCTAGATTCTCATTCTTAGTGTATGCTTTGACTCTGGCTTTCTTCGGATTATGTTAAAAAGGATTATGTAAAGAAAAACTCCTTCATAATGGATGGAAGAGATATTCCTGAAGCAAAATTGATAGCGATTAGCAACTGATTGGATATGAAGATGTTAGAAAATAAAAAGTAAGGAATGACTAGAAGGATTGCGGTAGATAAACGAGGGAAGCTTTTGGATGGGATGAGTTGGATTTTGAGTATATTGAGACTGATATGCTTATAGGACACCATGTGGAGATATCTAGTATGTGGTAGGAAATGTTGGAATCAATTTATCTCAATTGGTCCTTACTGTGGTATACATCCAAGATATACATATACATATATATATATATGTATATACACATATACATATACATACATATATATATCCAAGAGCACTGAATTTGGATCCAGATGACTGATTCAAATCCTGACTCTTCCATTAATTGTTAGTGTTGCTTTGCATGAGATATTTCAACTGTTAGGGGCTCAGTTACCCCATCTGTAAAATGAGAGATTTGAATTAGATGACCCCTAAAGCCCTTTTGACTCCCCCCAAATCTTATGATACTGTGAGAAATAATTCATTTGGACCCCTACTCTATTCCAATCAACATTAATAAGTGTGATATAATTCTCCAGGAGTAGTAATTATACGTTCTATATCTTAGGCCTCAGAGCTGTGGACTGCAGATTGTAAGTTCACTTGCTTAATCATAGGAAGCTAACTACAGGACCTCACCCTTGCTTTTCCTTGTCATGGTGACCAAGCCCAGTGTTGCAAAGGTAACTCAATTACATGGAAAATCCTCCAACTTATTTTTGTACCTCTGGACCTCTCTCTCTTATCCAACATGGGCAAGTGATCATGTTATGACCATTTAGTCAGTGGAGATATCCCATGCTTCGCCCAACCTATGACCCTCCCCACCACTGATATGTCGTTTTTGGCCCTCAAGAGCAAGGTCTATCAACCAATGAGATTCTGTATTTCACCATGCCTCTTTTGCATATTTGGGTATCAAACCCTATAAGTATAAGGTCCTGGAAGAAGGAAGATCTAAGGTCCACTTCATTAGAGGGGAACATGGACCCTTTAATAAAGTGCCACTGGCTCAGAGCTCTGCCTCAGTTTCTTTTATTGTAGGCTGGACAATTATAGTTCCCATAATCTTATTATCTGTTATGAGCTCTTGAAATCTGTCTCATGCCTAACAATCTTTTATATATCTAGGTACCAACCACTCATTCATTTCTGCCCTACTACCTTGCACTTCTAATTATGGCTTCAAAGGATTTAGCTTTGGGTTTTAGTTGTCACTGATCTTGGTTAGCTTCCTGAAGATTCCAGCTCCTTCTCCCAGTTGATTGAGGTGACCTTGCTTTTGGCCCTACAGTTTTCTCATGTACCAGTTCCTAAACCTCTCTTGGTCTGTAATCCTTGGCTGAAAGTGAAGAACCCTTGACTTTCTTAGTTCTTAAACTTGTTAGACTACTTACCTTCAGAGTACACTGGATAACCTCATTCCCTTTTCTTGTCACTGCCATCAAACATTCTTATTATCATAATATTAATGTTAATTAATATTAATAGTAGTAAAAGTAACAGCTGATGTTTATATAACCCTTGAAGCTTTGTAACTACCTCATTTGATCAGATCCCCTAGGCACTACAGAATTGGGGAATGGGGAGGTTCTTCCATTCACACTTTTAATTATCTTACCTTAGTGCCTTATTTTTATATTTTGTTGTGGTTGGAGTCTATCTACGAGATGGAATCAGGAAGACCTGACTTCGAGACCTTTCTCAGATACTTACTTTCCTGGGCAAGTGTCACTTAACCTCTCTCAGCCTCAGTTTTCTTATCTGTAAAATGGGGATAATAATACCTCAGGATTATGGAAAGGATTAAATCAAATTATATATGCAAAATGCTTTGCAAACCTTAAAGCCCCATGTAAATATTAGCTATTATTATTCTCTATTTACTCAAAAATGATCCCTTAAAAGCATACTTTTATGAAGTGCAAGGAGACAAGGAGAAAAGGAACAGATGATAGAAATAGATAACCATAGTTATTATTTCAAAAAAAATGATTCTATAGGCAGCCTGATAATAAATAAAGATACAGTGCCTTTATTAATGCAGCCTAAGATGGCTGCAGCTATTCTAGCAGCTGTGCCACAGTGTTAGAGGTCATCTCATCTAGTTTTTTTTTCATTTTACAAATGAGGAAATTGAAGCTCAGAGGGATTTAAACCTCCCCCCCAAAAAAAACAGGTCACACAGATAAAAAAAAAGGTCACATAGAGCCAGGATTTGGGCTCATGTAAAGAAAAACTCCATAATAATGGATGGAGGAGATATTCCTGAAGTAGAATTGATAGAATTCAACAATTGATTAGATATAAAGATGGTGAGAAGTAAAGAGTAAGGAATGACTTCAAAGTTTCAAGTACGAGTGATTGGAAGAATAGTGGTAAATAAACAATGGAAGGTTTGGATTCATGAACAGAATTTTGAGCATGTTGAGACTGATATGCTTATAGGACACCATATGGTAATATCTGGTAGGCAGTGGGAAATGTACTGAATTTAAGAACTAGATATTGGGAGTCATCTGTGTAGTAGTAATACTTGAAATAGTTGAGATCAATAAAGGACAGAATATGGAAGAGAGAAGTGAGAGACAGTCTTGAAGCATATTCCCTCCTAGAAAAGAGGAGAAGAAGAATAAGTGAAACAGATAA